TGAGGATTTTTCAACTGTTTAACCTGCTTCTCTGCTCCCTTCCATCTTTCTCCTTCTTCCTTTTTCACAACTACAACCTCCAATTCCAAGTTTTCAACCTCTGTCTGTAGCCGAACAACCTCCTTATGAAAAGTTTGACACAATGGGAACATTTCCTGCAGTGATGCCTTTCTTTTCTCCTTTCTGTCAACCTTGATTTTAATTGTCATGACAAGGACTTTCCAAGACTTGCAAAAGTTTAACCATGCATCAGGGATAAAGGGCTACAGCACTACAGGCACCAGTTGCAGGGCGGGGAGCAGTATCAGTCATGATGCTTGCTTTTACAATTTGCCCAGAACTAGCACTCTCAAGAACTAGTCCTCCCTACTGTCCCAAAAATGGGTATAAGGAGGGGGTAATCACTCAGGGTTCCAGCTGGCTATCCTTGTTCCCCAATCCCTAAAGTTTACTGAGTCCACTCAGATAGTTCCCAACGTGATACCATCAGTCCATCTCTGGCTCCTGGCTGGCTTGCCAGTTGTTATCAATAAGATTTCTTTTTTGCCAGAACTCTAAAGGATTGACATGGCAACTCATTCAATTTGGTATCAAGTGAAATTTAATATTAACCCCTAGATGATATTATAGGTTTCTTCCCCATAATATGACCTGGCAAGTGACTTCTTAGACATTTCAGGAGCAACTATCTGGGGTATCATACCTCAGGTCCTCCGCTGGGTGTGTGGGATGTTTGTTTTTGGTTTCCCTGCTGTTCAAGAAGTCCACAGTTGCACCTGTCTCCCCAGTGATACAACACAAACACACAGCTTTCTCTTTGTTTGTTCATTACTTTTGTAATTTTCTCATCTTAAATTATCCAATCCCCTGGCACTGTGCCAAGCATGCTTTATATTGTGTACCAATCCCCTGGCACTGTGCCAGGCACATTCCTTACCAGGATACTGTTGTGCTTGATTTGCCTAGCACACCAATCATAGCACTCACATCTCCCAATGCCACAGAAGGTGCTCTGTTCAATGTTATTGCTTAGTTCTGAGAAGGCCTGGATTATGGCTAAGAGCCTTACACAACTCAATTTGCCCGCCACAGTCCACACTTTGGATGACCTCTGAGGTCAGGCACATTTTCCCCTCTCCGTGCCTCAGGTTCCTGATGGTCATTGAGTGTTTCTGCAGAGCTCCCCAGTAGAAGGGCTCGAAGTGGGCTGTGTGGTACTGCTGTGTCTGGTATAGGTTGGTTGTGAGGTGCTGAGGGGCCTGCCTTTCCCCTCCTTGGAGTCACTAGGTCATAGTTGGCCAGGTGCTATGTGCATACATGGCTGTGAAGTGCCGACCCAGCACCATCAGTCAGCAGCTACTAATGAACATGCTGTGCTGGGGGTTGGGCTGGAAATCAGTCCAGCAGGAAGGCTGGGTTCAGGCCAACAGCAGAATTAGAAGCAGTTGGCACTGGGGGATGTCTGGGGATTCTTAGCTTGGTTGGTATTGCACAGATCAGTGGGTGGCACAGGAAGATGTGGGTGGATCTCCTTGGTGCCCCAAACCACATCTACTCCCCACTTCTGCCCCAGTGTACAACCACCTATCCCCCAGCTCTGCCATTACCCCAACCTGCAGTCTTTGCCCCCCAACTCTTCTGGTGTCCCTCTACCTTGATCTCCAACCCCCAGCTCATAAGAACTGCCATTTACTGGATCATACCATAGCTCCATCTTGCCCACTATCCTGTTTCTCAGTGGCAGAGAGTGGATGGTGAAAGGGAGAGTGAACTGATTATAACCAGGGTTTTTCCCCTGTTCCTCTCCCCTTGCAGCCTCCATTATTTAAGGTCTAGGACATGCTGATTCAGAGGCCATACCTATGTGGGCTCTGTGGGTTCCTTTCTGCTCTGATCCACAGCTCTCTGCCATTCCAGCCCTGGGCCCCTGCCCCAGCAGTGTGCCTGTGCCCAGCCCTGGCCGCCCTGTGGTCATCATTCGTTCAGCCTTCCAACATGCCATACTTTTCAGCCAGGGCCACGGTTGTCAGGATAGTAAAGCCTTCTGTGGAGTGGTGCAGATCAAAGGGCCAGGGGTACTTGGTTGTCCCTTTAATCACCTGATTTAGGCATCCTGTGGAGTGACAGCAAATACCAACCAACTAAACAAGTCAAGGATGAAACAAGCATGGGCACAAGGGAGCCCAGCAGAACTAGGTGCAACTGTAGGGGCTGTTTCATGCTTCCCCCCAGCAGGAACCACAAGGTACTGTGTAGCAAAGAGGTGCCAGCCCTGCGTACCCTCCAGAGCCTGGTGTGAGGATCTCAGTGTCTCCTGTCACTGCCAAGGGCCCTCTCTGCAGGTACTAAGCCCTGCAGAACATCACAGACAACTGTAATTCCAAGAGGATTACAGAATGAGGATTACAGGGCAAACCTACCCATTTGGGCTGAACATTGTGAGAACACGCTGAGCTGAGGCACCTGCAGCACTTCCACAGTCCTGTACCTGTCTGTGGTACCCAGAGGCCTTCTTGTACAGTGCCGGTACAGACATACAAAGTAGGGCTGTGGGAAATTTTGCCACCAGTTTTGTTTCGACGCTGTTTCAACCTGTGTTGAGGTCGAAATAGAAAAATCGAAATGAAACAGATATGGTCGAAACAGCCTTGAAACAAAACGAGGCAAGTCTAAACGTTTCACCGTTTCAGTGATGTTTCAACGTTTCATCCATAGGCTATAATGGGGAAGTTTGAAACAGCCTATAACTTTGTCATTTCTAGCCAGATTTGGATACAACTTGTAGAAATGGTAGCCCATTCTGAGGGCATAAAGTGTGCCAATTTTCAAGAAGATGGGTGCAGGGGGTTTGGAGAAACTGCACCCCAAAGTCTTGAGAGCCAAACTTGTGTCATGTGTACATGTTAAGCCACAGCAGGGTCAAAACTACGGGAATGCACGCCTCTGCTGAGGCCACAAAGCCTGCCAAGTTTCAAGAAGATAGGTGCAGGGGCTTGAGGGGAACTGTACCACAAGCTGCAGACAAGCAAAACTCATGACAGGGGTGACACTGTGTGTGTTAAGGCGCAGCAGGGTGAAAGCTGCAGGCCTGCTAGCCCCTGCTGAGGCCACAAAGCCTGCCAGCTGTTGAGGAGATAGGTTCAGGGGTTCTGGGTTTTGGGGCCCTGCACCTCTAGCTGCTGACAGGCAAAACTCGTATCATGGGTGCTTGTGCAACCATGTCTGTCTTGGGGCACGGGGGAGGGGAAACTACTGCAGGCCTGGCTGCTAGGCCCTGCTGTGGCCACTAAGCCTGCCAGCTGTCAAGGAGAGTGGTGCAGGGGCGGTCGCGATGCTGTAGCCAGCAGGGCCAACAATACGCTGGCATGCATCAATTGGTGCATCTCCAGCAAAACCATTGCAAAGAAGTGATTCTCCTGCTCTACTCGGCTCTTCTCAGCATTAGTGAGACTGCAGCTGGAGTACTGCATCCAGTTCTGGGCTCCACACCTTAACACGGATGTGGTTAAGCTTGAGAGAGTCCAGAGAAGAGCTAACCATATGATCAGAGACTTGCACAGCAAGCAATACAAGGAAAGGCTGAGGGACCTGGGACTCTTCAGCCTGAAAAAGAAAAGGCTGAGAGGGGACCTGGTAGCAGCTTACCGCTACATCAGAAGCGTACATTATTAGGAGTAATGGTTACAGTCCGGACACCCTAGTTGTGAAGTAGTTTTTCCTAATGTTGAGCCTGAAACGAGTCTGAAATTATCTTCCAGGAGTTTGTGACCATTACTCCTAGTATTCCCCAAGGGTGCCCTGGTGAACAGTTTCCCCCCAAACCCCTGTACTTATCTCCTTGAAACTCGGCAAGCTTCTTGGCCTCAGCAGGGGCTAGCATGCCTGCAGTTTTGACCCTGCTGTGGCTTAACACATACACATGACAAAAGTTTGGCTCTCAAGACTTTGGGGTGCAGTTTCTCTGAACCCCCTGCACCTATCTTCTTGAAACATAGCATGCGTCATGCCCTCAGAAAAGGCTACCATTCCTGCAAGTTTCATCCAAATCTGGCCAGAAATGACAAAGTTATAGCCTGTTTTGACCTTCCCCATTATATCTTATGGGCGAAACGGCGAAACAGTCAAAATGGCAAAATGTTTCCACGGAAGGAAACAGACCAGCCATTTTGACTCGAAACAAAAGTCAAAATGAAACACTTTTCTGTCGAAACACGGGTCGAAGCGGAATGCTGCCATTTCGCAGACCCCTAATGCGGAGGTGTTCAGTGTTATTACATGACTCCCACCTGCAGTGCATGTCTGGGTATCAACTCCAGGAGCCCGCCCTGGTGTTGTACTATTGTTAGCAAATAAAAACCTAGGATTCTGGACTAGCCCAGGGATTGACACGACACCTCATTTGATGAGTGACAGAAAGGCTTTATTTACTACAAGTATTCAAAATCAAGTCAAATGAGCCCAAACCAAATCAAAGTCCAGTAATTAGCTATAAGGCGGTGATTTCTCACCACACAGGCGATGAAGAGGCCATCTGTTTCTTTTCAGCTTCTCCAGTAAGTTGGATGCATCAGCAACTGGTGTCAGAGAGGTATCTCACTCTTGAAGCACGTGCACTGTTTGCTGTTTTACTTGCCTTTTTATACCCTTAGTTTAGCATCTTCAAAGCATTCTTTTAGTTGTGTAAATCAAGAGAGAGTCCCAAGCAGTAATTGACAGGAAAATCCTGTTAATCAACCTACTCATTATTGGTTATCAGAAATTTCTAATTTGAATGAGTTACCTTCTTCAGTGACAAAAGGTTATCCAGTTTGGAACATATCAAGAAACTTATTAACAACCAGGAAAACATAAGTGTCCTTGGAAAACAAGGTAAATCATGAGAGAAGAACAAAAACAAAACTAAATCAAGAGGAGACACCTATCACATATGGAGAATGTCTCTTCCTGCACATAAACACAAGTTAATTGCAAAAGAAATATTTACCATACTAATTAATTAAGGATAGACATTTCACACAGTTACACACCAGACAACAAGGAGCCTGCCTGAAATCATCCTGAATATAGCAAGATAAGCTAGAGGAGGTACTTCATTATTTCTTCTCAGATGGCCTAGCCATGAACTCTCATCCTCTTGCATTATGCGGTTAGCATCAGTATTCTGAATTTTAACTTTTGTGAGTATGCCCGAGCCTAGCATGAGTTTCAGAGTCATCACTACCCATTCTCCGTCAAAAATCCCTCATTGTCTTCTTCAGCAGGGGCCTGCTCTGTGCTTGGACAGTCTGAACTAGTCAGCTGATGGACAGGTGAGGTGGGGAGTGGAGGGACTCAGATCCCTATCCAGACTGAATTTAACACTGTTTGTTTCATGGGGGTGAATTCAGAAATGAAAATGGTCCTTGCCCAACAGGGGAGAGAGGAGAAATGGTGAAAGGGGAATGCTCCTTACCAATAAATCCAGAGGATCAGGGCCACTTCATGCTGAATTGAGGGTCAAAATTAAAGATAATCAGGGGGTGGCTCAGACCCCCCAAAGAGCCCACTGTCTTGGACTTCATCAGGAACATGGATGCTGATGCAACTGACAGGTTGAAGGATCTGGAAATGGATATAACCACTGCTGTGAGGAAGGCAGATGGTAGGGAGCTTGCTCCTCTGCGGGCTCCTGCCCGCAGGAGCAGGGAAGGCTAGAAACAGCCGCCTGTCAGAGCAGTGGGGTAGGAGCCAGGCGATCTCTGAGGAGGGAGCAGGCTGGTTTATGAAGAAGATTACACAACAGGGGCCCTGTGACTGCAGGGACTGGCAGTGGGGCAGGCGACACTGTGCTCCTGTGAGCACAGTGCCTGGGGTCCTGCCAAGGGGCTGATAAACAGGGCGGAGGTCTTTGTTGTTTGCAGCCGTATTCCCTGGCCAAGTCCAGTTCCTGGTGATGACATTAAACAACACTTTGTTTTGGAAAGATTCTTTCTGTACCCACCTCTGCTTCCATAAGCCAAGGGCTGGCAGTCAGTGAGTCAGCCCTGCCTGCTAGGTGATCCTGCCTGTACTGGGGCTGCAGCCTAGTGCCCACTCTGAGCCTAGCAACATCACAGGGATCCATGCAGGGAAAGTGATTGCACAGGGCCTGTAACCTTGGGGTGGGGTGGGGGCTCAGAGATTGCTCAGTGGGCCTGATAGGGCAGCTGGACCAGAAATGTGATGGACACTGGGGTGGGGGTGCTTGTGGGTAAGACCAGCCTTGGTCTCTTTGTAGCCAGTGGCAAAAGCCTGGTTCCTGAAGCCTGGGGAACCTTCCTGATCAAGACAGAGACCCTGAGATGAGGGTGGCATTTCTGGAAGTGGGCACTGCCTGGGCAGACACATACTCCATGGGGCTCAGCCAGCCAGGCTGTGTTAGTGCCCTTTGCTTTGACAGGGAGCAAGAGGCTGGGAATGGAGAGTGGTGTTTCAGCACCTCCTGCCCTGTCCCCTTTTCAGACAAGGCCTCACAGTCACAGTTGGGAAGGAGCCACCTGAACTGCTATTTTTCCATGCTTGGTCCCCTAACTGCTTCCAGAAGCCTCTGCCTGGCACCAGACCCCTGTTTTGAATCTCTGCTATGGGCATCTGCAGGTCATCCCCTGCACTCTATCACCCCAGAGCCACCTGCACTCAAGACCCTAGGTTCACAAACAAGGCTACCTCAAGCTGCAGCCAATTGAAGGTCACCTTCCAGCCTGCTTTTGTGATCTCCTGTCCCTAGTACCACCAGTGCCCCTCACTTCCCACCCTGCTCTCCTTTTCTGATTCCTGGGCCCCATTGGCCCAGTGGTCCAGACTGCATGCTGCTGCTTCCTGCTGCTCTGCTCTATATTTAGCAGCTGCGTGTGAAGCCACTGGTCTTGGCCACTCATTAAGAGTTTCTGGTTACAGCTGCACCCAAAGGTTCATGTCTCAAGGCCTTGGCACCTGGTGTCAGACACAGGCAAGGCCAGGGCACAAAGCACGGTGCCTTCCCCACCTCTACACACCCCCTTACTGGGGGTCTGCCCCCTCCCACACTGCCTACTTGTCAGTATGCACGCTGCACAATTTCCCCCAGTAGCATGTGTACATGCTGGGGAGAAGCCTTAGTCCTCCTAGCTCAAGAAAATCTGCAGCAGCAGGGCACAAGAGCAGCTGTATCAATTCAGGGACCACAGAAGACCTCCACTCAACTGATAGGGGGAAGGGAGGTGGGGCTGGATGGGCCTGTGGTGTTGAGCTGGGCAGTGTGAGGGCAGGGTGATCTCAGCCCCTAACTTTCCAAGAGCTGTGGTCCCTAATGCAGAGAAAGGAGATCTCAGGATCATGGCTTTATTCCCTGTGCCACAGTATTGCTCTGACCGCCGCCCCTCCACTGTAGCCCCAGCACCTGGCAATGGTCCCAGCCAAACAGTGCATCCCCTGAGTCCTTGGTCCCTGCATCTCTTCAACCCAGGCCTGGTGCCTTGATGCCCACAGGGGCAGGACTTAGCATCGCCAGCTCCTTCCCAGTAGGATTCTGCTGCCCACTGGCCTTTCAGGAACGTGGATCCTGCCCCCACCCACAGCCCCCTGCTCCTTAGGCTTCAGCCAAGGGTGCTTGATGCAGCTCATGATGGTGGTGGGTGGGCTGCGCTGTGCAGAGTCAGGTGTCAGCAGCCCCCGCAACATCTCCAAGGCCTCAGGTGTGAAACACTCCCAGCGCGGTGGGCAGGGGTGGATACGGGGGCTGCGGTGCCATTTCTCAAATTTCCGGTGGTGCTGGTCAGTGGCTGTGTGCCAGGGAAAGTAGCCAGTGAGTGTGCAGAAGAGCAGCACACCGAGTGCCCAGGCATCCAAACTGGGCTGGGCAGGCAGGTGGTCTGTAGCGCTCAGGCAGCACAGCTCAGGTGCTGTGTAGGGCAGATTCTCTGGCAGGGCTTCGATGGCAGTGCCCCGGGGACAACTCAGCCCAAAGTCAGTCAGCTTGACACGCCGACACTCAGGGTCAAAGAGCAGCACATTCTCAGGCTTAATGTCGCGGTGCACCAGTCCCTTGTTTCCCATGAACTCCAGGGCACTGGAGATCTGCAGGGCACAGCGCTTCACCTTCACCTCGGGGATCCCCACCTGGGTGAGAAGGCTAGATCCAGGCACCGCAGAAACACCCCACCCCACACTGTCCATAATGAAGAGGCCCCAAGTCCCACTTCCACATCCATGGAGTACCCCCACACCCAACCAGATTGAGGCCAGGCCCCTATAGAAGGGGTAGTCTCCATATCCACCCTGAGCTTCCCATGCCCAGGCACAGGTGCCAAGTAAAGAATGACTCTGGAGTGGACTGTACCTGGGGATGAAGGATGGAGAGCAGGTCCTTGGAAAGGGCTATCTCCTGAGCAAAGACGTAGTGGTGGTCAGTCTGAAAGGCGATGCCCAAGGCACCCACGATGCAGGGATGGGCCGAGAGGCTTAGCGAGATGCAGTACTCACTCAGAAAGCCCCGCAGCTCTGTGTCCCGCTTCCCAATGAATTTCAGTGCCATAGGGGTACCTGCAGGCACAGTTGGCATCAGGGGTCTGGGGTACCAGGCCCTCATACTTGATCAGCTCCAAGCCAGCCTGGTACCCCTAGGTCCGATCCAGGGAGTGGCCACTTTGGTACCTCCAGATCAGACCCACAGGCCCAGCCATCCTTGTGCTCTGCCCTAATCATAATTGAGGGCCCAGCCATCCCAATACTCCTATCCACATGCAGAACTATATGACCAGGGGCTACCCAGGTTCCCATATCCCAGGGGACCACTACATGACATGATAGAGTATCTGATAGTGCCCTGTGAACCAAGACAGAGGTCAAAGGAGGCAGCAAGTTAGTGCCCGTCATGAAGTAGACTAGAAAGCATGGTTTCTGGAGGAGGGGGAAAGATAGGGGTACCCTGCCACACAGCCCCTTCTTCCTGCATGGCAGTCAGGCCATACCTTGCTGCTGGTGCATGGCCAGCAGGACATGCCCATAGGCACCACTGCCCAGCTCTTGCAGGATGGTGTATGATTCCTGAACCTTCACCTGAGGTAGGTTCTGCTCTGTCAGCAGCACCATCTCCTCCAGGCACTGCTTAGCAGGGAGCAGGTTCATGGCTGTGAAAAGGGAGGGAGAAAGGCGTTGTCAACCATGGAACAACAGCCTCACTATCCTGCACCAACTGCTCTGGCAATCTACAGCAGATGCTCAGTCTGCTCCTTATGATGCACCTGACACAGAAATGCAGCCACTTTTGGGGTGAGGCACTCGGGGTGGGAGGTGGGCATTGCTTTTTATACAGATTCCTTGTCTGGGGCTGAAATGCAGCTGCCACAAGGTGGGCTGTGGGGGTCATTTATACAGAGCTCAAGGAGCCTTGTTTTACAGAACCCCCATGCCTGGCAACCATCAGTGGGGTGGGGAACAGGGACTGTTTATAGAGGGACCCCTATTCCTGTGCTGTGATGCAGCCAACAATGGTCTGTTATGCCCAGAGTCCCCGTCGGGTCCAAGTGTGGTCTGCTCAGGAATGGCCACTCTCAGTGGTCTGGGACAAGTGCTGGGGTGCAGGCCCCAGTGGCCATATGGTTTCACACATAAGGCTGACATCTCCACCCTGTGCAGGGGACGGGAAGGGCTTAGCCCCGTCCCTGAATGCTGGGCTGGGGAAGAGCAATACCACCGCCAAGTGAAGCACCTTCCCACACTATGGGGCCTGCACCATCCCCCAGATACTACCATGGGCCAGAGGTCCTGGCACTTGGGCCCTAATGGGGAAAATTCACAGCAGAATTTCCTCTGGTTCTTCATCAGGGTCTTAGGTTAGAACCATGGAGAGAACCCAGGAATCCCAGCCACTCCCCAGCTCCAGCCACTAATGCCACTCTCCACCCAGGGCTGTGAAAGAACCTGGCTAGGTTGCCCAGTAGCACCGATGTCACTGCACCCCACATTGCTTCGTGCACAAATCTTGAAGGGCAGCTCTAGACACCCCCCTGGTACCCTCTGGAGCACAGCCTGCTAGAGCTGAGAGGTAAAGCAGCTGAGATGGGGCTGGAGCATGGAGGGAGCACAAGACAAAAAAGAATAGGGGTCTTACCTACCTGCAAGTAGCCAGAGGGCAGTCACTGTGCACAAGTGGCCGATCCCAGGTCTCTCTCTGTCTTCCTGTTCTGTGTCTATGTGTGTGTTTGTGTGAGGCTATTTCTGTGCCTGTGCTTGTCTGTCTGTGCCAGTGCCTGTGCTTGTCTGCCTGCCTGTATGTCCAGTGGCCCCTGGAGTCCTCCTTTTATCTCATCTGTGTGTTCATGTGTTTGGCATCTGAAGTCCCAGTGGCTGCTGATCCCAGCTGGCTGCATGAGACCAGGGGTGGGGGCATGATACTGGGGATCCCAGCTGGCTGCATGAACTTGTGTGTGGTGTATGCTGGGGGCTGGGATTAGCAGCTAGTTATCAGGGTTATTTTTACCCACTGGAGCTGGACACTCTACCCCTTACCCACCCCCTAGCACTATTGGCTCTGGGATTAGCTGCATCCCAGATGTTCCTGGAAAGTCAGCTGCAGGCACCTGAAAACTATACCCCCTTCCCAGAGCCCCTGAAGAGCTGGGGGGACAGAACAGGGTGAGGGGGCACATAGTTGAGAAACAGATCCCTCTGTCACCTGGCTCTAGGAACCTCCATGAAAATCCCCTTCATAAAGGGTCCCAGGGGGCTTTCATACATTGTGGAAAGGGAAATATGATCTGTGCCAAAATGCAGCCATCTCTGGGGTGGACACAGAGACTGTTTATACATGGACTCCTTTCCTGATGCTGAGCTGCAGGTGCTCCTAGGGCAGCGGTGTTATACACCACTCATTCAGTTCTGAGCTGCAGCCATCTTTGTTATGAGCTGTCAGGGCTTGGATACAGATGTAGTGAGCAGGTTTGTTATTACCCTGAAATAGAATAGTTTTCTGATAAGCATACTGTTAGGTTTACAATAATTTAGATTATTAGGAAGTATTAGCTTTACAGCTGAATACAAGGCATGACCTGTGGCCTAGCAATGCAGCTGACCACAAGGCAGATTGATAGCTAAGCCTTTGCTTGTGTCAAGTAATCATTTTAACTGTATTAAGCATTTTCTGAGTTAAAAGCAGCAAGTATCTCTGTGTCTGTGTGCTGAAAAATCAGCTACAGCAAGAAGTAAGATAAGACAGGGAAACCATTGTTCTGGGTGCACTGGTTGTGTCCTTGAAAAGTATCTACTACTGTGTAAGGTTTTGCTAACATATTATAATGTTACTGTTACTTAACTTTTAGCTTTAAAAAGTGCTAATTCATCTTAATAGAAATATGCTGTTACAAAGATTTGAAAAGCACCGCCCAAGTATTGCTTTTTTTTGTTAACCATGAAGTCTTGCCTTGTTGTAATAAGTATAAAAGATCACCTCACCCTTAGGGGGGGGCCATTTTGCCTTTTGCTGGCTTTATGGTCTTTGTTCGAGCAAATAAACAGCTGTCTTTCTTTACCCGCGTTGTCTGTCAATCAAATTACAGCTAGACAACGAACCTTAGCGAGGTTTCTCCCACCACACAGCCCACGTGCAGCTCATTGTTTTGGGAGGGTGCTGCCAGCAGTAGAGGCAAGAGCTGGCATGACTGGATGTGTTAGCGCTGGAGCAGGCTACGTGGTGATGTGCATCCAGGCAGAAGCTGAGCGTCCGCTGAGCGTGTCAAAGCAGAAAGACCTACTCACCTGTCGCCCGTGGGGCCTTGGCTGCTTCCAAGGGACGGCTGCAGGCCCCGCACACACCTCGGACTGCCCAGAGTGACCCTTGCAGACGCCACACGACACGACACGTCCCGGGGGCCCTTCTGCCCCATGTCCCGCTCCTGTCACGCTGCGGCCCCTCGCTGAGACGCTGGCTCCAAGGACGGGGGCACGAGGAGGAGCCTGCGGGAAAGGGCAGACCCTCGTCAGACACTTTCACGGGAATGAAAACGCACGCACCGCTTACCGCACCGCAGTCGAGGAAATGACGCCCGGGGGCCGGCCCAGCACATTCCCATGAAGAGTGCTGAAATCAATCCCCACACAAAATGACCACTTTCCCACGCAAAAGCCATCACGTGCCGTCAAGAAAGCTTTCCAAATGCCCACGCCATTTCCCTCACACACCACATCCGCGTAGGCCGACTTTTACCCAATCCCCACACAATTTTCCACAGGTCCCGCAACACGCCAGTCGAATCAAAAAGTTCCTAAATCCCCCTACAATATATATACAGATATACGGAGCGGTAGATACATAGAGATTTAGAGAGATGAATCTGGAGGTATATAGAGCTCGACATATGTAGACATGTAGATATATGAAGCTGGAGCTATACAGAGCTGAAGATATACTGAGCTGCATATAGATAGATATACAGCTCTCTATATATGAAGCTGGATCTCTTCAGAGCTCCAGATATTTACACCTGGAGATATTCAGGAAAGTAGATATATAGAGATGTAGATCTATGAAGCTGGAGATGTGCAGAGCTGGAGATATATAGACAGGTAGATACAGAAAGCTGGAGCTATTCAGAGCTGGAGATATTTAGACCTTGAGATATGCAGAGCTGGAGATATTCAGAGAGGTCGATATATAAATAGGTAGAGGTATGAATCTGGAGATATGTAGAGCTGGAGGAATCTAGAGATGTACATATATGAAGCTGGAGATATTCAGAGCTGGAGATATTCAGAGCTGGAGATATTCAGAGCTGGAGATATTCAGAGCTGGAGATATTCAGAGCTGGAGATATTCAGAGCTGGAGATATTCAGAGCTGGAGATATTCAGAGCTGGAGATATTCAGAGCTGGAGATATTCAGAGCTGGAGATATTCAGAGCTGGAGATATTCAGAGCTGGAGATATTCAGAGCTGGAGATATTCAGAGCTGGAGATATTCAGAGCTGGAGATATTCAGAGATGTAGGCAGCTGAATCAGGAGATACCGAGAATTGGACATATATAGAGATGTCTACATAAGAAGCTGGAGTTATTCAAAAATGGAGATATTCAGCGAGGTACAGATATAGAGATGTAGATCTATGAAGCTGGAGATATGAAGAGGTGGAAATATATAGACAGGTAGACACATAAAGCTGGAGATATTCATATCCGGAGAAATGCAGAGCTCAAGATATTGAGAGCTGGAGATATTGATAGCTGGAAGGATTTAGAACAGGAGATATTCAGAGCTGGACATATTCAGAGAAGTCGATATATAGAGATGTCGATATTTCAAGCTGGACATATGCAGAGCTGAAAATAGACAGAGCTGGATATATATATACAGGTGGCTATATGAAGCTGGAGATATTCAGAGAGGTAAATATATAGAGATGTAGATCTATGAAGCTGGAGATATGAAGAGGTGGAAATATATAGACAGGTAGACACATAAAGCTGGAGATATTCATATCCGGAGAAATGCAGAGCTCAAGATATTGAGAGCTGGAGATATTGATAGCTGGAAGGATTTAGAACAGGAGATATTCAGAGCTGGACATATTCAGAGAAGTCGATATATAGAGATGTCGATATTTCAAGCTGGACATATGCAGAGCTGAAAATAGACAGAGCTGGATATATCTATACAGGTGGCTATATGAAGCTGGAGATATTCAGAGAGGTAAATATATAGAGATGTAGATCTATGAAGCTGGAGACGTGCAGAGCTGGAGATATATAGACAGGTAGATACAGAAAGCTGGAGCTATTCAGAGCTGGAGATATTCAGAGCTGAAGATATTTAGACCTTGAGATATGCAGAGCTGGAGATATTCAGAGAGGTCGATATATAAATAGGTAGAGGTATGAATCTGCAGATATGTAGAGCTGGAGAAATCTAGAGATGTACATATATGAAGCTGGAGATATTCAGAGCTGGACATATATAGAGATGTAGGCATATGAATCAGGAGATACCTAGATCTGGACATATATAGACATGTCGACATATGAAGCTGCAGTTCTTCAAAGCTGGAGATATTCAGCGAGGTACAGATATAGAGATGTAGATCTATGAAGGTGGACACATGCAGAGGTGCAAATATATAGACAGCTAGACATATAAAGCTGGAGATATTGAGCGCTGCAGTTATTCAGAGCTGGAGCTATACAGAGTTGGAGATATTCCGAGGTGAAGATATTAATAGCTGGAGATATTCAGAGGTGGAAATATTGATAGATGGAAATATTTACACCTGGAGATATTCAGAGCTGGAGATATTCAGAGAGGTAGATACATAGAGATGAAGATATATGAAGCTAGATATATACAGAGCTGAAGATATACTGACCTGGACATATATATACAGGTAGATATATGAAGCTGGAGCTCTTCAAAGATGGAGATATGCAGACCTGGAGATATGCACAGAGGTAGATACAAAGAGATGTAGATATATGAAGCTGTAGATAAACACAGCTGAAGATATACCGAGCTGGATATATATACACAATATATATATATATACACACACAAAGACAATACACACACACTATATATATATACACATATACACACACACACACACACACACACACACACCTGAGTTCCATACCCTGGGGAGTGTATGTACATCTGGGTAAGCTGTTTCTGACTGTCCCTATGGAGATGAGCTGAATTTCCAACTCAGATCATGGGATTTTATCAGCAACAACCACCAACTCCTTCCAACATCTAATCATCAAAGACTTTGCTTCCTGTCTCATCCCCTCTCCATGTCCCAAGTTCTTTGGGAGACAGTTATCTTGCAGAGTGGAGCATCTGGGTGCAAGGGAGCATGGGGGCATAAAACCAGTTGAGACAGCCTATTCATGTAAAAATCTATTCAAGGTAGACATGTTTTTTTGGGTAAATCTGATATCTTTTATTAGAGCAACTCAGATAGTTTGAAAAAATTCTTCTTAGCAAGCTTTCTGGTATAAATACCCTTCTGCAGGCTGAGGAAGCATCTGCAGTTGTTCTGTGCTCTTCCTGGATGGAATGAATAGTAAAGAAGCCAGAGGCTAGTCTGCATGCAAGGAAAGCAGTCAGTGAAGATGTAAATTGAGGAGTCAGTAGGTGAGAGAGGGTCTGGGAGTTGGGGAATCTTTCCAAGTTTTTTAATAGCTAGGGTAACATAAGATTTCCCAATGTGTGCCTTTTCCCAGTCCCATCCCAGCAAGGATAAATCTACTTTAGCCTGTCAGATTTTCACTATAAGTGTATAAGACTCACCCTTGGCCTCAGCACCATTTGAGTTTCCAAAATGGCATCTACATTGGACTTGACCGGTTCCTCAATCCTGAGACAGCCTGCTCTGCCTGTGCAAGGTGTATCTCATCTGGGCAACTGTGCAGAGCAACTTGTGGATTGTGGGTCACATGCATACATCTTCTGCCATGCATGCTATACTGCTTCATATGGTTTTCTTCCTGGACCAGATTGTGTGCTGCTGTGTTCATGCAGCCCTTCATAGGGGTTAATTAACACTGACTGAAGTCATAGGACAATAGCCTGCCTGCAGCACTGTGCCAAATCATCATCTTTGCTTCTGGTTCATGAGCAACACAGTGCCGTTGCTTGGCATGGTAAAATTTCAGGTTAGATA